TATTATATATATATATATATATATATATATATATATATATATATATATATATATATGTATATATAAGAGGAAACTTGTTCCTAGACAATAACGACGAAGACGAAGACGAGACAACGCCCGAATCGTCTCTCCTTTAGAATTCTGAGAAGGCTGACGCCGTGCCGTGTCGAGCGATAAATGGACAAATTCATTTTGGTGTAAAAACGTTCAGATGAAAATACCGCACACGAGCATCGATGTACAAATAGCCGATTCGTATTCATTTTTTATATCCGGAAGACATCGTAGACCGACAAGAGTGAAGAGAGACAAGAGAGCTAGAGTTAGAGGTCTACTAACCTTGACCTAGCGGAGATTCGTTAAGAAGCGCAGCTAGGATATTCGGTTTAATCATGAGTTCTTGGATGAACTGTCCGTCCTCGTTGCTGCTGTTGCTGTTAGGCTTGAGCCTCCACAGCGCCTGCATTACACGGGCGAACGTTGCCGGTCAACACGGTGCCGGCCAAGACGGTTACGATACTTTAGTGGTGGAGACCACCAGCGGGCTGATGCGCGGTTTCTCCCGCACGGTGCTCGATCGTGAAGTTCACGTGTTCTACGGAGTGCCGTTTGCGAAGCCCCCGGTCGGACCTTTGCGATTTCGTAAGCCGTTGCCGATCGAGCCCTGGCACGGGATCCTGAACGCTACCACTTTACCCAACAGCTGCTACCAAGAGCGCTACGAATACTTTCCCGGCTTCGAGGGCGAGGAGATGTGGAATCCAAATACCAACATCTCCGAGGATTGTCTCTACCTCAACCTCTGGGTGCCGCAGAAGCTGCGTCTACGTCACAAGGAATCGCCGGACAACGTCGGTAACAACGGCATGGCGATATTGGTGTGGATCTACGGTGGCGGCTTCATGAGCGGTACCGCCACTCTGGACGTCTACGACGCTGACATTATGGCGGCGGCCAGTAACGCGATTATCGCTTCGATACAATACCGAGTCGGCGCTTCGGTTTTCTATATCTCAATCAGCACTTTATCAATAGCGAGGAGGCACCGGGCAATATGGGCCTTTGGGACCAGGCCCTGGCTCTCAAGTGGCTCCGCGAGAACGCGCGCGTTTTCGGCGGCGATCCCGACTTGATCACGATCTTTGGCGAATCCGCGGGCGGCAGCTCGGTGTCTCTACATCTCATCTCGCCGGTCACGCAAGGTTTGGTGCGCCGAGGTATCCTTCAGAGCGGCACCCTCAACGCCCCGTGGAGTTACATGACCGGCGAGAAGGCGAACGAGGTGGCTCGTGTGCTGGTGGACGATTGCGGATGTAATTCGACGATGTTGCAAGAGAATCCCGCGCGAGTTATGGCCTGCATGAGGTCGGTGGACGCTAAAACTCTCTCTGTGCAACAGTGGAACAGTTATTGGGGCATTCTCGGCTTCCCGTCGGCGCCCACCATCGATGGCGTCTTCTTACCTAAGGATCCGTTGGACTTGGTCAGGGAGGCGGATTTCAAAGACACCGAGATCCTGATTGGAAATAACGAGAACGAAGGTAGGAATATTACTGACTGCACCGAGGACGAGAGCCCTCGGCTTGTTTTACGAGGGAATTGTAACGCTGGCGCTATTTACGATCGGTAGAGAGAGAGACCGTCCGGTTAAGCCAAGTTGGATGGCCGGCTTTTTGTAAATGAGAATATGTGTTTTCTCATGCCTGGAGCCGCGTTAGCCTCGCTATACTTCACTACTTATAGTAGGTTTCATTCCTACGTTGGATGGCGGAATGGCTCGCGGAGTCGCAGGCCGAAACGTCTTTCCCGCTTACGATTTCGGTATGTGGACGAGAATTCAATAGCGAGCTATAACTCAGTTTACGCGATGTGAAAGTACAGATTTATGTACGACAGCTTCTTCTGGAACTTTTACATCTTGATATCTTTCGTGCGCTGTTCCCCCTCTTGCACTTTCCGGTCCATTCAAAAGCCGTTTTCGTCAAATATGTAGTGTAGAATGTATCGTACGTGCAAGTGGAGTATATCATGTCATAATAATTATCATCGGTATCGGTCAAGTTTTATCGACACATTTAACATATATTTTTAATTTTTGACATTTTTTTGACATTATTTTTGGCATTTGATTTTTTTGATAAATAAACACGTTTTGATTGCCCTTCTTTCCATTTTTCAAGATGAAGAAATTTATTTAAAAAAATTATTTTAAGAGGAGCTAGTTTTCTCTTTATTTTCTTATTAAAATTTAACGCGAATACCTACCTGATATTCCATTATTATCGTACGTTTTCGATCTGATCGCGCGTTTATAAAGATGTCATATAATGATGTTAATTTATAAAATATTGAACCTATGTAAACGTCAACATTAAATACGTGTCAATCAATGTCTATGTTAATTGCATCTTACATCTGTTGCAATTAGCTAACTGTATTTTACTCATCGTGAAAAGTGCTGATTTAATTATTTCACGATTCTATATTAATTATTTCACGATTGTTCTATTCTCTTTCGTGTGCTTATCACGATGTTCTAAAGCCGCAAAATAGACGGCAAAGAGAATGAGATGCCGGGATTGATGCAGAATTAATAAAATGCAATTATCTTTGTATCGCTGTCGTAATAGTCTATGAACAGAACAAAATCATTGAACAAAATTCTAATAGAATTGAAGGCACTATTCTTTTCATTCATTGATGATACAAATAATTAAACTGGGTTACACACTCCAGATAGAGCTATATAATGATAAAGGTCTGTTTATGTCGCGGCCAACTGGTATATTGTTCTGGCACATATCGATTGAGAGACCAATAGTGAAACAGTACGTAGCGTCACTAACTCGATTCGAATGTATTTCGTTCATCGGAGAGAATTAGCGATACGTTACCTTTATTTTCTATGTTTTGTCCATATGTTAATGTTTATTTAGCTTGAAACTATAAACTCATTTCGTCTCGTACAAGAGCATAATACATACATACAGACATATGTATGTATGTATATATTTATTTATTTATTTCATATTAAGATTCATATACACAAATCATATTCACATCACATTCATAACTGCAGAGAAGGAAGATTTCGCAAAAATTTAGTGTGACAATTTACTGTGACAATGAAAAAATATAAGCGAGTAAGGTGCAAATTTAATTAAAAGATACAGACTTATTTTTCACCGTATTAAAGTATATATATATATATATATATATATACCATATTAATTTAATATCAGGTACTTGCTCAAGTGTTTTATATAAAGGCGAGAAAATGATTTTTATGATCAGTGATTTCTGAGTTGTATATTTTTCAAGAATATTAGTACGAAATGTTGTGTAAGGTTCTTTTAAAAAAAATTATAAGGATCTCTGTTTTTTCGTCCGTTTAATTAATCATATAATATCGGACAGATAAATCGATAAATGTAGGGTTGCATATTTTTTCTTCTTGACTGTTTATTACGTTCATCACATCCTAACAATTTTATCAGAACTTTACACACTGATATCGTGTATCTTTATTCTCGACACGCGACTGCCGATTTAATGACCGTATTGCTTCCCACATAGGATCGTTATCTTATGTTTGATTATCCAAGTATTCTCTGTTGCTGGCGCATCTCTAGTATCGAGCATGCAAATGCCGTATCGGGGTGATAAATCGGTATTATCAGCAGAAACCGCGCATACGCACACATGTTCGGTACGCGCGCGCGCGCGCGCGCATGCGAAGTTTAATTCAAAATATAACCGGAATTGCTCGCTAAATCAAACTTTGATATTGACAGCCAAACCACCGCACCGCCCTCCATTCTTTCATTTATTATAATTGTACTAGGAGGGAGAGGCAAAGAGATATATCGAGGTTCTATACCGCTTGAATTGATATTCGAATTGATTTGAACGGCAATAGTTTTTAATTCATTAAAAAACAGATAAGTAAAATAGATTAAGCAGCGCGAGTGGAGCAAGGCTAGAGCGGAACAAGTTGGAGCTATTGCTGGAAATTGGATTGAATTTCACACGTTTATTACCAGACATGTATCGGCAACAGGTATCCGGTAACGATGAAGCGAGGATAGAAATACGTTTGCTGAGCAGTGTAATTTTTGCTGAGGTCATAGCACGATCGCGTACATTGATATAAATAAATTTCATTAAAGATATCTGAGAGAAAGCGGAGGAAAGGGGGGGAGAGAGAGAGAGAGAGAGAGAGAGAGAGAGAGAGAGAGAGAGAGAGAGAGAGAGAGAGAGAGAGAGTAGTAGTAGTAGTAGTAGT